TTTAATTGTGGTTAAAAGGATCATTAAGTATGTTAATGGAACTTTTAATCTTGGTTTATTTTATCCAAAGAGCACCTCTTTTGATTTATATGGTTTTTGTGATGCCGACTTTACCGGATGTAAGGTAGATCGCAAGAGTACGAGTGGAACATGCCAATTCTTAGGAAATTCACTTGTTTCTTAGGCTTCCAAGAAACAAAATTGCGTTGCATTGTCCACTACGGAAGCGGAATACATTGCCCCTGGCTTATGTTGTGCTCAAGTTTTGTGGATGAAACAAAGCTTGGTTGACTATGATTTGAATTTTCAAAATATAAAAATATTTTGTGATAATACTAGTGCTATAAATATTTCCAAAAATTCGGTTTTGTATTCTAGAACCAAGCATATTAATGTGCGCCATCATTTCTTACGCGATCATGTAGAGAGACAAGATGTATCCCTAGTGTTTGTTGACACAAAATCTCAATTAGCGGATATATTTACTAAGCCTCTTGGTGAGGATGATTTTTGTCGCATAAGAAATGGTTTGGGCTTATGCAATATGTGAAAGTTCTATTTGCTTGCTTGTTTTAGTTGTATTTTATTTTCTCTTTACCCCATTTTTGATGGTGACAAAGGGGGAGAGAAATCTCCTCATTTGTTGCATATATTTAGGGGGAGCTCATAGAAGATAGGGGGAGCACCTATCTATAAGCTATATTTATTTTTTTTGCTCTTATATAATGGTTGGTTGTCATCATCAAAAAGGGGGAGATTGTTAGCCCTTATGTTTTGATGATGTTTTACAACCACCATTATCGGTACTAATTACTTATTGAGTGAAAATGTAGTGAATACATATATCAAGCATGTTAGTGCCACTAATGGAGGATTAAATGGAATATACGCTACAACGATGATATCCAAAGGAGGAGGAGGCATAGTGATGAAGCAACGTTATTTCAAGAACACCAAATTCAATTAGAAGCTTCATCCAAACTCAAGCTATATCAAGACTCAAGAATTCTATTCTCGTGAGGATATTAGCTAGGTTTTATTTTTGTCTCTAGTGTTAGAATGTAGGCAAATAGTTTAGATTTTATCTGAAGCTATTGGGATATCAACACACACATTTTCATACTTATAGTTTTGAACGTATTTCACAAAATACTATTTTTTACAAGTATGAGGACCTATTTGCAAAATTCCTTTTCCAAACAGTTTGTTTTTGGTATTAAAAACATTTTACAAAGTCTCACAATTTTCAGAAGTTAAATGAATATTTTACAAATATTTTAAGTGAGTCAAAATATTAATTTTTGAGTGTATCAGATTACGGTCGACCGCCACGGTCGACTGCGCCTGAGCTCACTCGTCAGTGGGCAGCAGAAACTTTCACGGTCGACCGCCGCGGTCGACCATGAGCAAAAAATTTCCCACGGTCGACCGCGAAAGTCTCTGGACTTTTGATGAGTTTCTGAGCTGCCTCGCGGTCGACCGCGAAAAAGTCACGGTCGACCGTCGTATATCTTAAACGGTCATATGGTACAGATCTCAGCGTTGATTTCACATGATCTCAGCGCTATTCTGTTTCCAGGTTTTGGGGGATTGGTTATGTGTTTCAACAGCTGTGATTTTCTATAAAAACCTATCTTCTTCTTCTTCCTCAAGGTCCCAGCTCTTTTAGATATTTTCAGAGAACGTTTTTACAGAGCAAAATTTTCAAACCTGTTTCCTTCTGAGTTTTTTTTTGTGTTTCACATCCCAGCTTCAGTGTTATCTTCTCTTTGCCATAGGGACATTGTAAAGAGAGGGTTCTTACACCATTTCTACTATTTTGAGAGCTTGATCTTGTGTAGATCAATTGTGTGGGAGTGTGATCTAGTGAGATCAATTATGTAGTGTGAGATCGTGAGGGGATCGCTGTGTAGACGAAGTTCTGGCTTTCAAACCGGGTTGTGTAGTGAATTTCTCCTCGAGAGTGGGGAGCGGGGACGTAGGTCAGCGGACCGAACCTCGTTAACACATCGCGCGTCACAGGATAACGATTCCTAACCCTATCTCCTCTATTTTGATTGCATTTGGATATTGTGTTTTGCTTGTCTTAATTTTATTACATAATTATAGCATCGTGACCCTAATCACCCCCCTCTAGGGTCCAACACTTTCTTGTGACAGTAGAAACACTCCACATATTTCTTGTTTTGTGCTGACTTGGACTTTGAACGATTTCTGGATTACCCTTTATCACCCTCTCTGGTCTTCGTTCTACCTCTGGCTAGCAGACCATCAGCCTGCCTATCGGTACTTCTCCCATTCAACTTTATTCTTAACTCAGCAGAATTCAAAGAGGCCTTCACATCCTCAAGACTTATGGATTCTCTTCCATACAACATAGAGTTAACAAAGTTTTCATAAGAGTCAGACAAGGAACACAACACATTGAGAGATTGGTCTTCATCATCAAGCTTTAGATCTAGGTTTTTCATATCCATGACAATTTTATTAAATTCATCAAGGTGTTCCTGAATGGGTGTACATTCCTTCATCTTCAATGTGTATAGCCGTTGCTTCAGGTATAATCTCGTAGTAAGAGATTTCTTCAAGTAGAGACTTTTGAGCTTTGACCACAACCCCGTTACCGTTTTCTCATCGGCAACTTCACGAAGCACATTGTCGGATAGTGACAATTGCAAGGTGCTGTGAGCCTTTTCGTCCATCTCTTTGATCTCGGCACTAGTCATATCTTCTAGGTATTTCCATTCGATAGCTTTAACCGTGCCTTTACGTCGCAACAAAGCCTTCATCTTTATCCTCCATAGGCTAAAATTATTCCGGCCATCGAAGATCGACACCGAGAACTTCACAGAAGCCATTTTTTGGAGGATTGAAAGCTGTCCTAGAACCGAGAAGCTCTGATACCAGTTTGTTGTGATAATTAAACACAAAACCAGAAAAATAGAGAGACAATCACAAACAGACAATGTTTATGTGGTTCGATCAAATTGATCTACGTCCATGGCAAGAGAGGAGTTTCACTATATTCAATCTCTCAATACAACCCACATACAAAATTTTGAGAGGACTTTGGTTTTTGTGTAGCTCTCACACTCCAGTTCTGAAACGCACAGAGAGTTTAAGAGAGAATGAGATCTCACATAAATCCAACAGGGGGCCACCTTGATATTACCTCTCTTTACCCGAAGTGACGTCAACGACAACGACCTCCCTTTCACAAAATTTCTTCAGCATCAGCCGCAATTGTTTGAAAGATCTTTGAGAAGAGAAGTGAGGGTGACTTGACAGCGACCTCCCTCCCCTTTCAAAAACAAAATAGGCCGCGGTCATTTAGACAAATTCAAGCCAATATCAACAGATTGATAAATTGATTCAACAAAGGATTTTGCATTATTGTGATTTTCATTATGTTCGTACCGATAGCTTGGTATATTCTTTTCGAAGATTTTAGAATTTCCATTTAACCCCCTACGTTTCAGTTCAGGTCCATTTCACTCCTACAAGGACATTTTACGAACTTCTGTGCCGTTTGTGATTTCCTTTGTTCTTAAAAATTTACTGATTTCTTTAATTGTATAAAATTAATACTCACATACATTTATTTTCTACCAAAAACAAACGTTTACTTTCCCAATAATTGGTATCAGAGACGTGTTCTAGGTTTCTCCTAAAATAGTTGAAATACAGCAGTAGCTAGTATATCAGCCTTTGAAAGATAGTTATTTACCATATAGAAAGACCTTATATACAATGAAGATTTTCATTTGTCTTAATAAGATGACATTACCAAACCTGAGAATATTACTGCAGATCAATGAAACGCACTTGGTTGAGTTTAATCGATATATTGGTTGGACACTAGTGCTTTTCACCGTGTTTCTGCTGATTGTTCGACATATTCTTTTTGCAAAAAATAGCAGGTTTAAAGGAATAACTGCTGGAAGCGAAGGTTTTAAGAGTAAAGAACTTCTCATTTTAACACACACAGAGATTGTTTCTATTGATAAGAACTGAAATCAAATGAAAATAATTACTCATCAAATTTTTTCTATGAAGATGTCTCTTAATGATGAGTTACAAACTTTACTCCTCCTCAGCTAGTGATGAAAAAAAGTTACTTATCAGCTTGTAAACGTTGTCATCTTTGCGACATTGTCGTCTTCTTCTTCTCATGTTAACTATGGCAATTAAGAGGATCTAGATCGTAGATCTCTTATCATCTACATATTTTAAATGTGTCAAGGAACCTACTGAATCATGATAACCATCCATTAAAATTGTGGATAGTTTTGACTCTCTCAAGCTTAAACTGGAAGCACAAAAAGAATGGTACCACCGCATTATTGTGTGTGAACTGTACATGTTCATGGTTCGTAGAATCTGAACCCTCCAATATATATAATTGATTTAATGGAAATAATCTGGCTAGAAATTCAAGTACCCCTCCATCTTAGAAAACAAAGAGTTATTACCAGTCCATCTTTTTCGAGCAAGTATTAATGAAATTGCGACATTACTTCAATACATCGTATACATCTCTCTCTTCTCACTTCCCCACTCCGTAAAATCAGCTACAAAGATCAAACAAGAAAAACAAAAAAACTACTAGCATCTTTGTTGGGAGCCCAATAGAGCAGGGTCGCAGCGAAAAGTAGAATAAAAGTAATAAAAAGAACACATTTACGTGGAAAACACCCTAAATGAATTTGATGTAAAAACCACGAGTAAGGATAGAAACTTTGGAATTACAATATCTCTTTATAAGGAGAAACTTTCTCTATTTTTCTCTCTCACTCTTCTATATGATGAGTTGTTTTTGGGATTGATTTTTCTTGAAGAGTTTTGGGTCTATTTATAGGCAGCTGAAATAACTATGCACTAATTTTATAATATTATTTTACTGTGCACTTTTCCTCATTTCAAAATATATGCAGCTGCGAATTATTTAGTGGGGCCCACTCACTTTTTCCTTTTTAAAGATTTTCGGCTGACAATCTTCTTTCTGATCTTTCTATGCTCTAATGGAATTTGAAGGAGAGGAGAAGAGTAATATTCCACTGTTGCAAGGAGGAAGAAATAGAGGGAGGGCGACCTCGGCTCAGACCCTGGGAAACATTGTGGTGTCTATACTGGGCACTGGAACACTTGGTCTTCCTTTTGCTTTTAGAGTTACAGGTTGGGCAGCTGGTTCTCTTGGTCTCATGCTTGCCGGCCTTGTTAGTTATTACTGCATGCTTCTGCTTGTAAGTATCTTATTTCTCTTCGAATAGAGATCGTTCCTACAAAAATATCTATTCAATTGAATGAGTTTGGATGAGAAGCTATCTCGGAAAATTTAACCTGAAAATTCATAGTTTTTAATATTAGTAGAAGATTCAATTGAGAATACATGAGATTTGGTAACTTTTAAGCTAGAGAAAAAGGGTTGGGTGTTCCTGTGGAAAAAGTCAGGTGTTTTTGTGTGAAGAGTTGGGAGGCTTTAGTGGGAAAAACAAAGATCAGGGGATAATTTCCTGAGAAATTCCACAGGCTTGGGGCCCCCACCCCCCCAAACAACACAGGCACACACACCGCCACCTCCTCTCTCTTTCCCCCTCCAAAGAGATGTTTCTTGATGCATGCCTATTGATCAATGCAAAAATAAATAATACTCGTACGCTTCAATGCATTTAGTCTTTATTTTGGGTTTCTACATCAAGCAGCATCCATGTTCCCCTCAGTACTAACATACTCTGGCTAACTTATATATCCTCTTATATTTTCGATCAAAATAGGTTGAGTGCAGAAGAAAGTCAGAAGAAGATACACAGGAAACAGATAAACCTGCACAAACTCAAACCTATGGCGATATAGGTGACAATGCATTTGGAGCAACTGGTCGGTTTCTTACTGAATTCCTAATCCTTGTATCCCACGCTGCTGCTTCTATCGCATTCTTTATCTTCATCGGCCAAAACCTCTCTTCAGTATTCACCTCCTTCTATGTTACCATCTCTTCCTCATATTTCATATATTTCCTCTTACTTCTTCTTGAGGTCCTTCTCTCATTCGCCCGCTCCCTCTCTCTCCTTGCTCCCTTCAGTGCATTTGCAACATTATGCAATGTCTTTGCCATGGCCATTGTAATCAAAGAAGATATAAATAAAATTGGGGACCATTCATTTGAGAGTGCAAATGCTTTTAAGGGAGTATGGAGCATTCCTTTTGCCTTTGGAGTGGCTGTATTTTGCTTCGAAGGTTTTGGAGTGACTCTAGCCCTTGAGAGGTCTATGGCTAAGTCAAGTAAATTTCCTTGGGTGTTGCTCCAAGCTTTTTTAGGAATTGCAATTGCTTATATTGTTTTTGGGAGTTTCGGATATCTGGCTTATGGTGAAGAGACTCAAGAAATCATCACTCTTAATCTTCCCAACAATTGGACGACAATAATTGTTAAGGTAAGTACTAGATTGTAGCCAAAGGCCTATGCTTTCTTCTCGATTTAATAGCAGATAGACCCCTTTACTGCTGCCCAATTGCAGATAGACGCTCTGCAATTTCTATCGTTGTGGATAGACCCCTATGTGAGGTTTTTTTTTGCGACTCTTTTGCCCACAGGAGGTCTATTTATCAAAAAATAAGTGTTCCTTTCTTTGAGGGTGAAAGAGTTGAAAAACTTCGGTCAGGGGGTTTGTCTGCAACCATACAACTACAGAGGGCCTGTATGCACAATTGGGTGATAGAACAGGAGGTTTATCCAACGGTCAGCAGCTAAATATCTTCAATTCCTCTTCTTTGCCCACACAGGTTGGTCTATGCATTGCTATCACTTTCACCATCCCAATGATCATGCATCCTATCCATGAGATCATAGAGCTAAAGCTAAGATCATGCAGATGGTCTCAGAATCTTTGCCACAACTCACAAACCAAAGGCTGGTTAATCTCTCAGGTTGCTCGACTGTTCGTGATTGTGTTGTTGACTATGTTGGCTACTTTTGCTCCAGGCTTTGCGCAACTTATGTCGTTCACAGGAAGCACAATTTGTGCCTTGATCTCTTTTGTTCTGCCGGCATCTTTTCACCTCAAGATCATGGGCTCCTCTCTTGCTCCTTGGCGTCGAGTTGTTGATTACTGTATTCTTCTGGTTGGTTTGGTGTCTGCAGTTTACGGGGCTTTTGCAGGTCTTAAGGCAACTCTTGACTTGTTTTTGTAGATCTGGTTGCGTGAAGAACAGGAGACCGCTAGAATCTGTTCAGTGTATTCAATAATAAAAGAAGAGGAGAAAGATATACTTTTGATTCTACAACTTGATCTTTTTTGCTTTTGATGTCAAAATAAACAGTTGATTGTCGTGCAAATGTGACTTAGATTTAGGCTAACTAGCACTTAAATATAATTCCCCTAGTTTGCACTTATATATCACTAGTTGTTTTTGGCAGCGCTAGCTTGGATACCCGGAAGGTTCTAAATTTTGCGCTTCAGTATTTTCTAGTGTACAGATATGAAAATATTTCTCCGAACATTTCCATGTGCACTCGCAAACTAATTTTAGAAATTTTTAACCTTTAATGTTTGTTGGATTTGTTGCTAAGCACATACTAATTCTATTTTAAACCTGTCTAACTTATTTTAAAATAGAATTATGGTGGGTTTAGAACTAATTAAATTCAACAAACGTTAAGAATAAAAAGTTTTAAATAAGTGTCACATGGGAATATTTGATGGAATATTCTCATGCTTGCATCACAGAAGTATGGTGTGTGTATGACTGCAATCCGACTCAATGAGACTTGCCTCTAGGGGTGGGCAAAAACAAAAAAAAACCGGTTCAACCGAAAAAACCGCCCGAAAAAACGGACCGGTTAACCGAACCGAATTAAATGGATGAGAAGAAGTCTCTAAACCGCCCGAACCGAATTAAATCGGTTTGGATCCGGTTTGAACCCCTGAACCGCCCAAAAAAAACCGACCCGAATTCTGTTGGACGGTTTAGAGACTAAACTTATACCTCAAAACTTTTCCTGTTATCATCCAATAGATTCAAACGGCGCAAGGAGCAGTTTCAAGCAACGAGTATAACAATATCACAGAAAAATATCCTTGAGAATTAAGTAAAGATTCAAATCAATCCAGAAAATTTGTTATGCACATGATGCACTTACAAAAGATGCATACGCTACATTATATGAACAATATCATACAAAACATCACTCCCCCGTGTAATTAAATAAACTTAAACTTTAGTTAAAAAATTTCACAGAAAAGATCTTGAGAATTACATAAGATTCAAATCAATCACAAAATGTGTTATGTACATGATACTTACAAGAGATAAGCATGTTGTATTATATAAACAACATCTTTAAAACATCAGTTCTCTGCGTAATTATATCAACTTAAAACTTTATTCTAAAGATGATAACCAGTCTAATAAACCTTTGTTGGCGAGCTCAGGAACCTCATCATGAGGACAATGCCCAGCTTACAAATTCACAACAGAAGTCTTTGGATAGAACTCTTTGCAAATTCAAAACCGAAACCGAACCGAACCGAACCGAATTTCGATTGGGCCGAATATTCGGATGAAGGGGAAAAAATCTGGATCTGGATGAGAGTTTTGAGAATCCGAAAAATTCGGATTGGATGCGGATTGGACATAAAACCGAACCGAACCGAATATGCCCAGCCCTACTTGCCTCCACCTCTATTTTATGGGCCAACGTGTGTAACTTTTAATAAGAAAAGTAATTATTCCTATTTTAAAACCTGACAGAAAACATGTCAGATATCACCAAGGTTTTGAGTACGTAAAGGGTATATTAACCATTTTAAACTAACATATGGTTTTTTTTAATGCAGGCTTTAGCCACAATTAGCTAGGGGTGCAAATATGTACATATTAGAATATGAATATGGTTACTAAATGAAGATAATGATATAGTTTAAATTAAAATGTAAACCTAAATGAATTTATTAAATGCCAAATTTATAAATGTATACAAGATGAATGTCGTATATACAAAAACCAAACAAATTAGTGAGACAAATAATGTTCGTTGCAGAGCTCGAACCCCAGAACAACGCAGACCTACAAATATACATAATGTGGACGGAGTATTTGCAAAATCCACCAAACAAATTAAAGAGACAAAATCATTTTAAAAATTATAAAAAAGAAAAATTAAAATAAACGGTTGCAATATGAGGACACAACGTGGCGATCTCTCAACAACTAAAATTCAAGTAGTTCACGACACTGCATAATTAGTTTCAAAGTTTAATTATACTATTATTATTTAAATAGAACTCTATTTACAATTGTTATCCTCTCACATGCAACATCACATATCAATGTTTATAAGCCGAAACTACAACAATTTCCGTAGCACTTTCATCTCCTTCTACATGTATTTGCCTTTGTTATTTTCTTCTTATTAGATTAGATTAGATTATTTTAAAATAATTAATTATATTGTATATTTGATCTTTTTTTTCATATCAAGAAATATCAACAATTTTTACATTACTTTTATCTATTTTCTTCTTATTAGATTAGATTAGATTATTTTAAAGCGAGTAATTATATTGTATGTTTGATCCTTTTTTTAGATCAGAAATTGCAATAATTTTCATAGCACTTTTATCTCCTTCAACAAATATGTGTTTTGTTATTTTCTTCTTATTAGATTAGATTATATTAGATTTTTAAAAATTATGAATTATGAAATTGCAACAATTTTTATATTATTTTCATCTATTTCCTTCGTATTAGATTAGATTAGATTATTTTAAACTAATTACTTATATTGCATGTTTTTTTAGATTATAAAGTTTAATTATACTATTATTATTAAATAAATACTGTTTGTATAAAGGTTGTAAGGACCGTAAATTTTTATACTAGTTAAAATAATTTTTTAGTATTTTAAAATATTTAATTATTATTTTTAAAAGAGTATTTGTATTTTTCTGATTTTTTAGAAATTTCTATGATTTAAAATCCAAGTTTTATATTTATTTAAATGATTTTAATTTTTATAAAATTAATTTTGTGCGGTAAATTTTTTTTGGAATTTATCCGTTGTGTTATCAATACTATTACGTATCATTTTAAATAATATGTATTATTATTATTATTATTATTATTATTATTATTATTATTATTATGTTTTATTTCGTATAATATGTTGTATTATTAATTACATATTATTTATGTAAATTATTATATTATTTTAATTATTACGTATCAACTGTCGTATTAGTATAACTAGTACGTTTTACTGTGTATATAATTATCCCATAATTATTTGTTTTTAAATATAAGTAAATTTATTATTATTATTAATTATTCTTGTTTAACTGTACAATATGTGTATATTTTGACTATTTCGTATCAACTGTTGTACTAGCACAACATATACGTTTTTATTTGTAGATAATTATTCTGTAATTAGTTTAATTTTTAAGTACCCGTAATTATTTATTTTAATTATTTTTGATTAAATACCTAACCCTAACCCTAATATATATATATATATATATATATATATATATATATATGTTTATTTGAAGCGTGGAACGAGACGGTGAATCGAAGAATCGAAGCATCTAGTTTTCAGCCCGTGAGTTAACTCATAACAGTCATGAGTCGACTCATCAGGTTGAGTCGACTCGTGCCTATCATGAGTCAACTCATCAGGTTGAGTCGACTCATGCCTGTCATGAGTCGACTCACGAAACCCAACCGTTTGTCACTAGTTTCTGACAAGTCGAGTCATCTCAGTCATTGTTTGGGGACAAAGTTGGTTTCTTCATTGAGGTATTCATTTTAACTTTAGTCATTACAATGAAAATACAAAAATATAGTCTTTTTATAAGACTCTTACACAATGAAAATATAATTCTCGTCAAAACAAACGCAGAGATCGTTTATCGGTCTTCTGCTTGCGTGGGATCTTAGCCTGTGATGGGGACGCTGATATCCGTGGACCACCAAACGATTAGATCAGATCCGGTGCTTTGTTGATTCGCGAATGAATTAAGAAACTGAAGCAATTATCTCGGCAACAGCGAGATAACTACTCTTCTCGAGATCACCACAACGGGGCAATCTCAAGGGAAGGAACCGGGCTGCAGATCTGACGAACTCATCTTCTTTATGCCGAAGAATTAGCTGATATCTCCTCCTCCTCTCTAAAATTTGTGGCTCTTCAGTCCTCAGCAGGGCTTCGCCAACGCTCGAGAATTCCAGATCTAAAAAAATAAAGGCCCTGGGGCTGTATTTATAGGTTTTGGGACCTCTGTTTTCAGATAAGAATGGCTGATTCCCTCTTATCCTTAGTTGTAACCACTTAACCATGTTCATGGATGATATTTTATCAGTTAGAGCAAATCCTGACGGTTAACGATCGAAAAATCGTCAAAATCAGCTTTTTCGGGTTGCAGACACCCGCGGGTGTCTCGGCGTGGCCGAGACACTTGTGAGTGTCTTGGTTTGGCCGAGACACTTGTGAGTTTCTCGGCCAAGCTGAGACACTTGTGATGTCTCGGCTAAGCCGAGACACTATGGGTGTCTCGGCTTAGCCGAGATACTATGTAGTGTCTCGGTTTGGCTCAGGGCTTGGTCTCGCGCACTTCGTTCGTTTTCGCCGTATTTTTATCATCCGAACTCGGAATCATGTGATCTAGAATACGTTGGAAAGCTGACGAGGAGATCTACAAGCTCTCATGATTTAATCATGTATGGAGTAAATAGGACATGAGGGACGCTTCGTCTTTCGTAAGCGACGTGCAGCTCCCAATTCATTCGTGTTTCGATTATTCCAAAATTTCGTTGGTTCGCATGGTCCGTCGACTCACTTCATGTGTTCATCATTATCAAATAAGATTCTGAGACTCGAATAACAACGTTCATCGTCTCCTCTCCATCTCGAGCCACGTGCGGGGACCTATAGGTAATTTTTGACGTCTACAGATACCCCCTCCAAAGTGTTTTAGTTTCGTTTCTTTTATAGATGAGCCTGAAATGCTTTGGATATGATCGGTCTAACCTTCAGTCGGTGTAAAAGGACTTGTAGTTAGCTTTGATTCTTGACTCCTTCGATTTTCAATCTATTCAATATTTTGGCGAATAGCTGAAGTTCTCACGGTGCTGCGTTTATCGTCTGGCCGTCGTTGAAATATTGAATCAAAATTGGTGAATCGATTTTGGCTCGTATCATCGAGTTAACTTTGAACTGACCATCTCCATCACGATATATTGACGTGCGTTGACCTTTATCGCAACGAGTTAACTGGTGTTGACCTAGAGTTATGCGTTGACCGACGTTGACCTAGGGTTTCGGATCGCCCGATATTGGCTTTTATCGTAATGCATTAACTCGCGTTGACCTAGGGTTACACGTTGATCAGTGTGACTTAGGGTTTCGGATTGCCCGACGTTGACTTTTATCGCAACGTGTGGTAGTCTCAAGTGTTGAGGTTG